GCATGTTGCCATGATGCTGAACAAGTTTCAGTGGAGCTTCAGACTTAAGACAGACTAGGAAGAAAGGCCTGGTGATCTACTCCTGAGATACAACCAGTGAAAACAGTCTGATCAGCAACCGATCATGGGGATGACACTGGACCGGGCAGCGTTTTGTTCTGTTGTTCACGGGTCACCATGAGTCTGGGCTGATTCAGTGGCAGTTAACAACATTATAGCAAAGAGATAACTTCCCTAATAAATGAAGACTCCCTTCAAATTGATAAGAACAAACCAATACCCAGTAGAAAATGGGCAAAGAATAGAAACAATTCAAAGAAAATGAAAATGCTCAACCTCACTCATAATAAAAGAACCACAAAAGAGATAGCATTGTCAAAGATAAAAAAAACAAAAACAGAAACTTGTAACACTGCATGTTGGAGAGGGCTTGGGAGACAGGAACTCTCATATATTGCTGCTAAAAAACCCATTGCCGTCGAGTCGATTCCAACTCATAGCAACCCTGTAGGACAGAGTAGAACTGCTCCATAGGGTTTCCAAGGAGTGGCTAGTGAATTCCAACTGACAACTTTTTGGTTAGCAGCCGGAGCTCGCCAGAGCTCTTAACCATTGCGTCACCAGTACTCCCTATTGCTTCTAGGAATGTCAGTTGTCACAGCCTTCATGGAGAGCAATTGGCCATATTCCCCTTGACCCAGAAAGTCTGCATCAAAGAATGTATACTTCAAATAGTCTGAAAATGTGAGAAATGATATTTACTCAGAATAGTTATTGCAGTGATTTTCAATAGCAAATTATTACAAACGGCCTAAATGTCTATCAGTAGAGAATTGAGTAGATAAACAATGGTGTGTTCATGCAGTGGAATGCTATACAGCTGCTCAAATTACTAAGGCAGTTTTATATGAACTAATATAGAAAGATAACTAAGATTTGTTAACTGAAAAAAAAACAACGTGGAGGAAAAATATGTGTAGTATGCGATGATTTGTTTAAAAAGTATGTTTATGTATGCATAGGCTACCTCTGGAAGAATACCCAAGAGACTGGCGACAGTGGCTGGCCAGAGAAAGAGGCTGAGGTGGCTGGAAAGGTGGGGGACAGCAAAGGAGGGAGGTTTACTTTTAACTGTATGCTCTTGTATCTTTTGAGTTTTGTGTCATGTGAAAACCAGTAAAAAAAAAAAAGAAAGTTGTCGTCAAATGAACTCTGACTCATGGTAACCCCATGTGTGTTAGAGTAGAACTGGGCCCCGTAGGGTTTTCAAGGGCTGAGTTTTTGGAGGTAGATCACCAGGCCTTTCTTCTGAGGTACTTCTGGGTGCACTCATACCTCCAACCTTTCAGTTAGCAGCCAAGTGATTTAACCATTCACACCATCCAGGGACTTTGTATCATGTGAAGGGATTCCCTACTCAAAAAATAAATAAAATAATTTAAAATTTTTTAAACTTACAAACCTGGAGACAGAGACCGAGTCAGAATGAGTCTTTGTTCCCTGAGCACAGACTCAATATCAAGGGGGAGGAAACAGGAGCCAGGGAGTAAGGAGGATTTTGATTTTGTACTTCTTCATAAACACACACTTATAGAATCATAGAACTCTAAGGTGAAGAGGTGTTAGAGATTCCACCAGACAGCGTTTACATTGTAGCTGAGGGGAGGACAATCTGGGATAAACCCTTGCTGAGGAGAACTCTGAGATAACCCCCAGATGGACACTGAGATTCGAGGGCCAAGACAGCAGTCTTAGGAGCTGTCCAGCAACTCCAGACACACTCCTTCCCACCATCCCTCCAATGTGTTTCCCCCTCTTGTTGTTACGGGGCGCCTTCCACTGCCTGCTATCCCTCCTTCCCGCCCTCCATCCCAGACGTCAATCAGAGAAAACCAGCAGGTGCCTACTGCCTGGGCGCCTTGCCTGAACTTCTGGAATCTGGGGGCTGTGCCCGAGGAGCCCAGCAAACTGGCACTGGTCTTCACCCAGCTGTGACTCTGAGGGCTCTTCTTGCAGGTGCCTTCTTGATCCCTGTTCCTCTTCAGAACATCAGGTGTCTTTACTGGGACCTTCCTCTCCCTGGGTCAGATGGAGAATCATTCCCTGGGTTCAAAGTCTCACTTCTTACTTAACTCTGGAATCCTGTGAATGCTGATAAAAGCACTGATGGTGATTGATTATAATCCTATTCATTTTAAGGGTTCTCTGTCTGACTGTCTATGTATCTGTCCATCTATCTTCAAATCACAGATCTCATTCGATCCTCACAGCAACTCCACAGGGCATATCTGATCCCCAGTTTTCAAATAGTCAAATATTTGTGGAGTCTCTGGGTGGCAGAAACGATTAAGCTCTCAACTACTAGCTGACGGGTTGGTAGTTTGAACCCACCCAGAGGCACCTTGGAAGACAGGCCTAGTGATCTGCTTCCAAAAGGTGACAACCTTGAAAACCCTATCGAGCAGTTCTACTCTGTATGCATGGGGTTGCCACACGTCAGAATCCATTCAAAAACAACCAGCAACAACAAAATACAAAGGTATGTTTTCCACGTACTTTCCTATGTATTATCTCACATAGGCAATGACAGTTTTATTTACCCAGATTGACAAATGAGGATATTGAAAAGGCAACTGTGTAATAGCGCACTTTCAAAGTAAGACGACGTGAGTCTGAATCCTGACTTAATAGATTTTTTTTTTTACACCGGCAGTATTTCCTCTGGTGTAAAGTGGGGATAATAATATTTATATTGCCCATCTTACTGGATTGTTGTTAGGTTTAAATGACTATTGTTCAAAAGAATTTCAAGAATTAACATTCTAATGATTTCCCATTTCTGGACCTGTTCCCTCATGTAAAAATTTTTTTTAAATGTTTAAACCTCTACAGGAGCCAAAAGAGGACAGAATAATAGAAGGAACCTGATGTATCCATCACCCTCTTCAACAATTATCAATGCAGGCCAGTCTCGTTTCAGCCATACCTCTGTCCACTCCCCCCTTTCTTTTCCTTTATAACCGGTTTTCAGGATAATGCGGTAATTCCCTAATGTCCTCCCCAGGTGATTAAGGGTTATTTTGTGTTGTTTTAATGTTATTAGAGATCCCTAGATTTAAATATATTTGGTGTGTTTCAGTCTGTTGCAGTTATTAATTATACTTATTGATGTTCAACTTGACGAGGGAAACTTACTCAGGTTGACCTCTGAATCCTTCTGATATGACTTTAGTAGTCTTCGGCATTTCATTTGCTTTTTGGTGTGACGGGATGCTGAAGGCTTATCTTGTACATTTGCCACATCAGATTTAGAATCAGCCATTTCTCCAAGGAAGTCTGATCCTTTGGAGGGAATAATATTTAGAGTCTATAATCTGATTGCTGGGAGTGCTCAATCCTATGAGAGTGGTCAGTGTTTCTAGGCCTTTCAGGGGACAGAGCTAGGATGTGTGTGTGTGTGTGTTTAAAACAAAATATATCCTGAGTTCGTACTGATACTCCCAATTCAAAATCAGAACTACAGAACCTCATCAATCTTACATCTCTGTCTCCTTTTAGCCGGAGAAAAATCTTGTTTCTCAGCAACATCAATATTGTTTGATTTATCCCATAATACACATATAAAATATGATGATAATAATAATAACAAAGTACTATCAACCGTATGATTATTGGAGACTTGAAGACAGTTGAGAATTTTTTCTTTTTTTGGCAGTTCTTTTGATCTTTCTAAGTATGTGCAGTCAAATTACAGTTTTAATTTCTCTGTGTATAGTTATGCCAACCAGCCAGACACATTGACTGGTTTCATTTTATTTTAACTTTTAGGAATTGCTTTAAAAATTTTTATTTGTGTTTTATAATTATGTAAAATTTTTATATGTCCCAAAACAAATCCACAAAACAAGGTATATTCAAAGTCCAGCTTGTATCCCTGATCTCTCCATCTTATTCCTCCCCTCCCTAAAATTTATTTTATGGTTTATCTTTTTATTTTCTTTTTAAAAATGTAAGTAAATACATACATATGTTTGCATCCTCCCCCCTCCCTTTCTAGATGAATGGTAGCATATTATACATACTTTTTCCTATCATTTTTATATTCAATAATACACCTAGAGATCATAGCATAGGTATATAGTGTGTACTTAGTGTAGCTTTCTAGATCTGGCATTGCTGTGTCAAAGGGTAAATGCATAGTTATTTTGATAGATACTGCCACATTCCTCTACACAAGGGTGGATTTTACCGTTTCCAGCAGATACTTTTTAATGTTAGAGCAAATGATTAAATGAGATGCATTATCTGTGCTGAGAAAGGTTAAATGGTTGCCCAAAAGGAGTGGAAGTGGGGCTTGAACCCCCAAGTGCTCCCTAATGGCCAGTGTTGTGACTCACTGTGCATACCTTCACTCTGTTAATGAGGCGAAGAAACTGAGGCTGACATAGGGAAGTGACCTACCCTAAATGACTTAACGAGCTATGTCTCCTGGCCCTAAAATTAGATCTCTTTTCAATGTGTTATGGATTTATTTATTTATTGCCAGTCTGTAAATGAGGAAGAAAAACATAGTAGTTCTCTTAAGGAAATTAAGAAAAGTAATGAGATAATTAGGGGTAAATTCTCCCTTGGGTGTAGGAGAGGTTCTTTGAGATATGGCTTAACTTCTTTAGGTGAACAGGGATTCAGCAATTAGATTATGGTGTCAGGGCACTGCGAAATAATCTTACGGGTGAGAGTGATGAGCCGGCACCCCGGTATTCTCCGACATGTCTGGGCACATTGGGAATCTGCTCTGTGTCCTGCAGAGCGCTTTGAACCTGGTTGAACAAAGGTGCTGTTACGCTATGCAAGACTTTACAAATGCATGTGGGTGAAGATGTGATTCCCCCAGTGAACAAGCAAGCTGCAAACCAGTCTTTTCTTTCCTAGAGTGACCCTGGGGTTCTCCTTTGTGCTTGCTTTGAGACAGGTTGATTGATTTATGTGCAGTTTGGGACACTGGAGTTTTCCTTCGCTCTGCAGACGGGAGCAGAGCCTCGTCTGGTGTTGCAAGAAGGAGGCTGAATGAAGCAGAGAAGGTGAGTGAGGTTTGGGCCTGGGGCATGTGTTGGGGAGTTAGGTGGGGGGTGGGGGAAATGAGTGAAAGCCTCATTCTTGCCCCCGTTCCTTCTCTTTGGTGAGAGAAGGCTCTTTGCCTGGCCTCAGGAATCTCTTGAGGGGAGGGCTCCTTCCTGCTCCCCAGAGATGGAAGCCCAGAGTCGCCACAGAGCCAGGTATCAAGGCTGTCCCGTGCAAGGAGGCTGGGTGGGGCACAGGGAGCGTTAGCTTCTTCCCCAGCAGATGCGGTCAGCCGGCATTGGAGCTGCCATTATCCTGAATGTCCACTTTAATTGAAAAAGTGGGAAACAGCTTGGTTTATGACCCACTCTCCCTCCCTAGCCTGGGCCCCCACGACCTGCGAGCCTCTGTGACAGCTCCGGCATATGGGGGGCAGTCTGAGAACTTCCCCACCACCTCCCGGCAGAGTGCTGGACTCGGCAGATGGACAGCTGTCCAGGACACAGTAGGCGGCCGAGCCAACAGCACAGAAGCCACACCCTGTCCAGGGTCTGCATTGTTCCATTCTGGATTAGAACTTCCTGCTGCTCCCAGCAACGCCTCCTTTGGTCTCAGGCCAGGGGCATGTCTAAGGGACAGTTTTAACAGAGGATTAATTGGCAGTTGATCACAAGCTAGCCTGACCTGGAGGCCAGAACAGAGAAAGGTGTCCTTCTCTGAGTTTGGGCATCTCTGCCTCATTTCCGTTGGTCTCTCACTCCATCTTCCCTCCAGATGTCTTCTGCTGTCTCAGAAAAAGCTGGGGACCTGAGGGGAGGACAGGTAGGAGCAGAGCCTGCTGATGACATGGATCTGGACAAAGTTTAAAATGGGCTTTGGATCTGGAAAGCCCAGCTCCACTTATTTTGTGACCTTAGGAAAGTTTCTTAACCTCTCCAGGCCTCATGTGGTACCAGCTGCTGTCAAGTCCGCTCTAACTCATGGTGACCCCATGTGTGTCAGAGTAATACTGCGCTCTATAGGGTTTTCAGTGGCTGATTTTTTTGAAGATCACCAGGACTTTCTTCTGAGGTGCCTCTAGGTGGACTCAAACCTCCAGCCTTTAGGTTAGCTGCCCAGCCTGTTTATACCACCCAGGGACTCCCATGGCATATAGTGGGTGTTCAGTAAATGAAAGTTATTACCATTATTTCTCATATCAACAGCAGTTCAGGTATCATTGTTTCATCAAAGTAGTTTCTGTGCGGGCCCTTTCAGGCTGGGCTACAACTTGCCTCCAAACACTATCAGGTTGCAGGGAGCACCTGGGAAATCCATCTGCTTGCAGGACTTTTCCACCCCATTGTTGTTACTAAATATTGAACATACTGACTGGCAGTGGCGGGCGGGGGAACAAGGGGAGCACTTTTGTTTTCCTGCGTGGAGGACTGTTATTGCACAAGTGGCGTGACTGTTTATTTAAATGGACGTGTAACCACGTGAGACAGCCCAGGAGCAGACGCCCAGGTTTCCAGAGGAATAGGGCGTTAGTCCAGCCCAGTGTCGCCATGTCCTTCTCTAGCACTTTTCACACACCCGTCCTACACTCTATCCCTGTCCTCCCAGAGCCCCTCCACAGCCCTCCCTGGGCACATGCACCCTGGGTTGCCTAACCAGATCCCAGCCTTAGGATCCTGGGCCCCCCTGACTTCTCTGATGATAGCATCACGGCCCAGCAGCAGACCTGGCTGCTGTCAAGTCACGCCCTACTATGTCCTGCCTGGTGCAGAGCAGATGTGCTCCACCTGGCACCTCTGGACACTTCTGAGCTAGTCAGCAGCCCCTAACAATGGTTCAGAGCTTGATTCCTTCTCTGAGGTGTCCATGTACATTAATTGTGTCACTTGCCTTCCACGACAATTCTGTGATGTGAGCAAGGCTGGTGTCATCATCCCCATTTGACTGGTGAATAAACGGAGGCTCCGAGAAGTTACTTCCCCCAAGATCCACACACCTAGTCAGCCAGCGAGCCCATACTAAAACTTAGATAGCTTGCATTGAGGGCTCTTTTCTTTCCATGCCACACACTGCTTCCTTTAGTCCCAGGCACCCCCACATCATGAAGGGGAAACACCTATCAAAGGACCTTCAGACTCCCAGAGGACACTAAAAAGAGAAAGAATGAGCACAGACGATACACAAAAGCAGGGGCATATGGCTACTGAGGGAGCAGTAGTTTCTGCAAGAAGGGAAGCTGATCCAGGTTTCTTGAGATGGTGATAATAATCATTTTAACAGCCAACATTTGAGTACATCACGTGTACCAGGTGCTGGGCTCTGTACTCGACGTAGGTTGTTGTTAGGTCCCGTCGAGTCGGTTCTGACTCACAGTGACCCCTGTGTACAACAGAACGAGACACTCCGCAGTCCTGCGCCATCCTCACAATTGTTGTTATGCTTGAGCCCAGTGTTGCAGCCACTGTTTTAGTCCACCTCATTGAGGGTCTTCTTCTTTTTCATGGACCCTCTACTCTACCAAGCATGATATCCTTTTCCAGGGACTGGTCCCTCCTGATAATATGTCCAAAGTATGTGAGACGAAGTCTTGCCATCCTTGCTTCTAAGGAGCATTCTGGCTGTACCTCTTCCAAGACAGATTTGTTCGTTCTTTTGGCAGTCTGTGATATATATTCAGTGTTCTTTGCCAACGCCATAATTCAAAGGCGTCAGTTCTTCTTTGGTCCTCATTATTCATCATCCACTTTCACACGCATATAAGGTGACTGAAAACGCCATGGCTTGGGTCAGGTGCACCTTAGTCTTCAAGGTGACATCTTTGCTTTTTAACACTTTAAAAAGGTCTTTTGCAGCAGATTTGCCTAATGCAATGCGTCGTTTGATTTCTTGACTGCTGCTTCCACGGGTGTTGATTGTAGACCCAAGTAAAATGAAATCCTTGACAACTTCAATCTTTTCTCCGTTTATCTTGATGTTGCTTATTGATCCACTTGTGAGGATTTTTGTTTTCTTTATGTTGAGGTGTAATCCGTACTGAAGGCTGTGGTCTTTGATCTTCATCAGTAAGTGCTTCAGGTCCTCTTCACTTTCAGCAAGCAAGGTTGTGTGTTAATGAGGCTTCCTCCAATCCTGATGCCCCATTCTTCTTCATATAGTCCAGCTTCTCGGATTATTTGCTCAGCATACAGATTGAATAAGTATGATGAAAGGATACATCCCTGACACACACCCTTCCTGACTCTAAACCCACACAGTATCCCCTTGTTCTGTTTGAACAACTTGACGTATATTCTCCATTTAATCCTGCTCACAACAACTCTGGGAAGTAGGGCCATTACTACCCACATTTTACTGATGACAGATGGAAGCACAGAAAGGTTAAGGAGCTTGTCAAAGCCCCACATCTAACAACAGCCAGCACCTGGGTTTGAATTCACGCAGTCCAGCTATGGGACCATGCAGTTGACTGTTTGGGGTTGGAGTAGATTTTCAGGGAAGCTGGTTCCAAGTTTCACTTGAACGCGTGACTGTTTCTGGGTGTGCTCCAGCCAGGTTCCAGGTGTGAATCTCATTTTGTAGGTCCACTCTGCAGCCTCCGAAGGAGCCAGTCCTCTGTGTCTCCATCCTCCCTCCCTCTGGCTCTTCTCCCTTTGTTCCAAAGCCACTGCCATCTGGAGCTGCCCCAGGCATCTGCTCCTGTGAGCACACTCCTCTGTCCCTCTTCCTCCTGCCCCAGCTTGAGGCACTTTCCGGCACTCAGACTTAGTTTTTCCTCTCCCCTCCAAGCCCTCACTGCAGTGCTTCACTCACTGGCCTCACCAGGCCACTCTGAGCAGACACCTGCCCTTTGATGCAAGACAGAGAAAGTACCGAGCATCCTTAGGCCTTCAATTTCCCAAATGGTTCCATTTGGTTAATTGCATTTGCACTGCTAAGCCCCTCTGCCTGCCAGAAGCTGGGCCCTCTCTCTCCATAAAGACTACAACGGGCCACTAACATGGGCTCAGTCAGGACACACAGCTGTGGATTGATGGGGGCATGGAGCTTCATTAGGAACTGTCAGTTTTGCTTTCCTACCTTCCTCTCCACCCTGAAACGGATTCCAGGCTACTGAGGCAGCGCCCAGTCTAGCCACCTTTTCCTGTGACCACTGAGATCTGTAGGGGCAGGTGTGGGGACATGCGTGGCAGCAGCAAATACTATTCTCCTCTATGCAATCATTTCCAGACCCCGCTCCGCCCTTTTCTACTGCGCCTCTAAGCCCCATCCTTTAACAAGAAGCTGAGTTCTTTGGCTTGAGATAGCATGTCACCCTCTGAGTTTCTTTTTCTAATAAGAGGACCACATACTATAGCCAAAGGAGGCCCTTCCTACTTGCTGGTGTATGATCTTACTCAGGGTATAAGGCACAAAACTTTCCTTACACTGGAGCCAAAAGCATCTTTGGTGTAAGCACCCATAGCTGTCAGCACTTTGTAAGGAGACTGCTAGACAAATGGTGCATTTTATAACTTCGGGAAAAAAACTTAGTCTGTGTGTTGCCTCTCCCTTTTTGCTCCCGCCACCCCTCCTGCAGGCCTCCTGCATTCTCACATCTCCTGCCTGTGCAAGCCTGGCAGGATGGCAATTGGATGCAGACTGATGTCTGCGTTGGATGTAAATGCAGAGGGCTGAAGGGAGGGAGCAAGGAACAGATGCTGCTCCCCCCTGCTGCTCCTGTCCTTTCCTCCCTATGTCCCCCTTACCATGCGTCAGACAAGAGTTTAAAAATATAACTGGGGATATGCTATCCTTGGAATATCAGCAGCTAAACCAGTATTAACAGCATGATGGGAGTCACCTAGAAGAGCTGACCCAGCTCCCTCTCTGGGGCTGATGCCAGCTGCTCATCAGCCAGGAGCAATTGACATCGTAGGTCATGGGGCACTGGTGGAAGAAGCTGGCATGAGTACAGGGGTAGGTGTCTCAAGGAGTGCTGAGTGCGTTGGTTAAGAGGACCATGGAAAGACGAGGGAGAGGGGAG